GACTTTTACTGATATGTCACATGTAATTTAGAAACCTTTATTGATTGATTGATCGTATATTGTTTGACGTCCCTCTCGAGAATTTTTCACTTATTTGAAGACGTCAACGTATACCGGTGAAGGGCTTCAAATTTTGACCTTTACTCGGCACTCAGGGCCATTGAGCAGTTAGGGATCTTTATCGTGCCAACGCCTGCCGCTGACACGGGGCCTCGGTTTTTAAGGTCTCATCCGAAGGACCCGCAACTTTCACTTCAAAGTGCCGAGCGCATGGCGAAGGAACAGTTGCTACCCATTTTATCAACTAGGTCAGTCGCGGCCGAGATAAGAACTCACGACCTCCCGATCACGGAGCGAGCGCTCTACCGACTGAGTTACCGTGAACGTTGATGTAACACATGTAATTTAGACTTTTACTGATATGTCACTTGTAATTTAGAGACCTTTACTGATGTAACACATGTAATTTACAGACTTTTATTGATATAGCATGTGTAATTTACAGACTTTTACTGATGTAACACATGTAATTAGGCTTTTACTGATGTAATACATGTAATTTACTGATGTAACACATGTAATTTACAGTCTTTTACTGATGTAACACGTGTAATTTACAAACTTTCAGTGATGTAACTTTCCATTATCCCTGAAGAATGATGTATTTGTAACGAGTATTGGAGCTCTCACAAAGAGGGCGCCACCATTGCGGGATAGTTAGGATACATCAACATATAACTTAGAGAGGGAACTAGAATAATTCTCTGATCTGTTTATTTTACCACTTAGATCAGTTAGATGTGTAATCTTGTGTTTTATTGAGCATGTAAATAGATATTAAATGCTCAGGAAAATGAGAAGTTTAATTGTGAATATATTGTATTTTGAAAAAAGAGATTGATTATCAGAGACAATAAATCTTTCGTCCCTCCTTGGACAGTACTGTGTGTGGATAATAGTAAAAAATGAATTTTAAACATATTTTTTTTCAATTGTTTCTTTCAGATGATTTGGGAACATAGCAACCATTGCTGTGGAACTGATCAAAAGAGGTCACGTGTTTAAGCAGATATCTTATCCTTGACCTCAGATAGAGCGCCATCTGCTGGATCAGAGGTCAAAGTATGAAGAAATAACTGCACATGCTCAGGATCAAGACTGTCGAGATAAACATCTCTGGCGGGAGAGTTGAAGTTCTTTCTCTGTGATAAACTATAGCTGGGATCATAATGTTCTGTCAGAAGAGCTTCCACAAACTGAGACCACTGGCCGCTCTCTCCGAGTGAGAACCATTCACTAAGTTTATTATTACTGTGATAACTGTTTAGTTTCATAAGTTTTTGTTTTGTAAACTGAAAATTTTCAATATAGTCTGGATAATCTTTTAGGATGTGTCTTTTCTATTGGGAGGTTAATACGATATTGCTGTGCTTTCCCCATTTCTGAGTGTAAAGTTCGTGGTACGTGTACATTGCCTATTCGAACACTCTCTGACTCCACCTACACAACTTTCTCCGGATTAAAGGATCGGAGCTTTTCTATTATCTGGGATTCAAACCATTTCTGTGAGAAATGGTGTCCCATTAAGAACTACGCACTTTAATTCTCTATTCTCGACTATATTTTGCACCAATTTAATTCAATGTTAACAGCAATTTGGCCATGAAATCTTTTCTAAATTCAAAGAACAGTTCAAGGCTAATATGTTAATTAATTCAAATCCAGTGCTTAATAGCAAATCATTCCCAATTCCAGTATTTCCCATATTTTGGAGTAGTTTTGGATATGATTAAATGTTCCTAATATTTTTAAATATGTTTTAGGCCAATAAATTAAACATAAATATAGTAATATAATACAATGTTTATGTAGTTAATCGGTTTGACATTAGTGAAAAAAGAAATATTTTTGTCGTTTTTGTCAATTGATGATCAAATTTTACCACTGGAATACATAGGAAAAATCTTTAAAAATCATCTTCTTTAGAACAGCAGCACCATGACAGCTGGTCATAATTATTAAAAATCCTATTCAAATGTGTTCACATCATGACATCAGGGGTAGGGTAGGGGCCAATTTGGGAATCAAAGTTAAACATAGAAATATATTGAAAAAAATTAAAGCTAGATTTTCTTCTTAATATCACCGTAATTTGGGGACTGTAGTGATAACTAATATTTCTAAACCTTAAAAACAGGACAGGAGACAGTCTTAAAATCAAAGATGTTTATTCTTGAATGTCCGTCGCAAAAGTGGTTCTTTACAAGCATAATAAAAGATATAAAACAATGATTCTCTGTATAATTACAATGTAAAATGAAAGTGTAAGATAATGCCACAAATAAGAACATTAAACATCTTCTCATGAACACGCAATTCATTACAGGTATTAAAACATGTCTACTGAATAACTTCATTATAAAAATAAATGATTTAAAATAAAATATGTACTTAATATCAATTAGGAGAACTAGCTTGCAAAACATTCACTTGGCTATGAGAGGGATATGAAAGGAATAGACCAAAAATAGAAAATTCACATGTTATTGTTTACAATGAGTCTACCTTCGGTATAGAGACTCTGACTTAATGAACAAACATACAGACTAATCTGGTAAATAAACACATTTACAGCAGAACCTAGTACATTTACCATTTCCAGTCATTGAGTACAAGTACACATGTACTAAGCTACATTCTACTAGTCCTGCACATGATTTAAACAAACAATCTAAACCTACAGCATGTATAATAGTTCTGTTTCATATGCACAAGTTTACTTACATGGATACTTTCTGCATTTTTCCTCTTACAAATGATAAATAGAGTAAAACAGTAAATTCGACTGCGCGTTTACTTGAACAACAATGTTTTGAATACTAAATAGAAAACCAGTAGTTAACGAGATCGGTCTCGTGTCCAACCCTGCGCTATGGAGAGAGTTCGAATCATACGTGTCCAAGTTTTTTCTTTGTATTTTTACATATCTTAAAAGCATGAGTGAAAAAATAAATTATTTATAAAATATTAAAATAATTAATGAAATAAAGAATTAAATGAATAAAAGTTGATATAAACCATGTAATATTGAAAAAGTGTAGCTTACATGAATTTTAGAATTGAGCAATGTCTTTGTATGAAATTAAAACAATCGTGATTATTTACCAATCTAAACATGATTTTACTGATATAATTAATTGCTTCACAAACTTTATTTACAAACAAAAAGCATTTTATTTTACAAACAAAAACATTATAAGGATTTATTTGTATGTTATAGTATACATATAAGAATGTCATAGAAAATAAAAAAAATCCAATTTCTTTTAAAAGAATTATAAACAATACCACATTTTTATATCATACTGAAAATATAAGAAAATTTAAAAGAAATTCTAAGGTAGTAAATGAGAAGGAAGTCTTTCTACTCCTCTCAAAGAAACATCCTGAAGTGCTGAACTCTGACAAGTAACAATCATGATATAGAATAGAATATAATTTATTTTTCAAATTAGGGCCTCATGGGGCATGACATATAATAAATACGATTACATATAAATACACATAAATCCCAATACTATAATTTACATTTAATGTAATTAGCTTAGCAAATTGTTCAGCTTGTATAGTAATTTAATGGTATGATGACTTTAGATATATATCTTATAAAACAATTCATTGTTCAGCTTGTATATATCCTGAAACATTATTATTGATTTCTGTGCAAGAGTCCCATAATTTCTTGTATCCTCATCGATGTAGCAGTTTGTATGTTATGAACCGTTTCTTGTCTGAGAGATTGTTGGTAGGAGAACAGAGCAGCTTGATAGTTCCCTGTCACCTGTTGACATATCCCTAGAATCTGCCAGGAGATGTCCCTTCTATACTCTTCTATATATACCCCCTGATCATGGTGGACCAGGAACTGTAGATCATTTAGAGCTAATTGTGCTCTCACTGGATCTACATGTCTGTAACACAAGATCTCTAACATGTGTAACAGAACATAGGGTGGGATACATAGTATGGGGGGTCCACACTGTAACCCAGACTGTTGTTCTGGCACTAATTCATTTATGTAACAGACTGTATTAAGGATAGTAATATCCCATGCTACAGCATGTCTTATCTCTGTAGACCAGGACTGTCCCTCCAAAGACTCATGGAAAATGTAGATAAGTGCATCTTTAGTTAAGGTCTTGTTTTCACGAATTACATATGGCTGTGCTAACTTGACCTTTGTCATTTCTATAACTAATAAGGCTTCTTTATGTCTAAGTGTTTTGTAGTAAAACATTGCAATAAACAACATGTCAGAAATACACCCAAACTTGGAAGCTAATTTCAGTATATAACTGGATGTTTTATTAGCTATATACACCTGTTTGTTTACAGCTGAGCTTGTAAATACCTCAAATGGTGCAAAAGCAATGTTCTGGAGTGCAAGTAATGTAAACCTCCGTAACATGAGAACCTGGTACTGTGGCAGGGGTAAAATTATCAACTTTTCTACAGCTCTTATAGACCTAATGCATGAGTGTAGGTTATCTACTGGTAGACTAGCGACAAACATCTCACAAAATAGATTTAACTCAAACAAAAACCTGGAGGTCAGCATGTGTACATCTGTATCAGCAGAATGTCTTGGATTTTGAAGGACACTGATAAGACTAGACCTGATAGATTGACAATAAAGCAGTGATGCTATACCCTTCTCATACAATTTATGAAGCCTAAGAAATAATTTTTTTTGTGCTGCACCATGGATATTACTCAGAAACATGTTGTTTTCTGGAATAAAAAAGTTTGGACATACCCCCTCATACACCCATTTAAGGATCAGTTTAAAGCAGACCCAGAAACAATGAACAAGATTTTGAGGACACCATTGAGGTATTATGTTTTGTTGTAACACCCAGAAAACTGCTGTCTTCATGTGATAGGAACACAGTAATTTTTCCTCGTTAGTTAATTCCTTCTTAAAATCTTTTAAAAACAATTTAAGCAGCCCATAGGTCAAGAATTGGCAATGGTTCATTGCATATACAAGTTCTTGTTCTGCCAAAGAGAAGGATATTCTCCATTGTTGTTTTTGCATGTTTTGCGAGTTTGTGTCCAATTGCTACAAAGTGGCATCGATTTCTGACTATGTCATCTACGATATAAGACGGGGGCCATGCCTGACATCGGTTTATCCATTTGAAGGCAGGAGGGGGCCAGATATCACAGACAAAACAATGGGCATGGTCATACTCTCCGCCAATTAAAACACCACTACCACATGGACCATGTTCCTTAGAATTAGGCATAACTGCTGAACATGTGATCTGTCTGTATTTTGAACTGGATATGTAGAGTCTGTCATTTATTTTCATACATGCATTTTTCACACTTTCCTTGTGTGTTGGTGTCAGTAATTCAAGTAAACCAAATCCTGGTGGGCTATCAGAACAATCGCAGAGAATCAATGTTTTTCTATTTAAGTCATAATTTTGATTCTGATCTAAGTCCCATATAACCATGTGGTCATTTGGCCAAAACATTGCATCCATATCTGACCCTTTTAGCCTGAATCCTTCTCTGTGACTCCCACTAATCATCATCCTGTCTGCTTCTCTTGTTTTTATTACTTGTTCATTCATCATTTCCCTGAAGTCAATCATTTCCCTCCTCATGATCACCGTCTCTGAGGACCCCACTATGTGACACAGTTCCATAAACACAGACTCTGACAGACGTTGTATACCCAAGTCCCTATACCAAACATTAAAAATGAGTATATAAATATTTTTTGCTAAATTTCACTATAAATGAGTCCAATTTATATTGAGTTATGTAATGTTTCTAGACCATAATCATTATTTTATTTGTACAACACCTCACTAGGTTCTGTTACATCTGACTTACATAAATAATGAATTTTAGAATATCAAGAAACTTTACAACTAGTCTGTATTGATTATATATAGATACGTGTATATACAAGTTTGATTTTTTTTTACTTACAGCCATTTGTAGGACATCCTCACAATGTCAAGGGATTGTGATTTCTCGAACTCAACACAAGAGTATGAAGTTCGAGAAATCACAAACCCTTGACATTGTAAGGATGTTTCTAGGAAGATTTTTTAATATTATAGAATAATATTTCCTGTTCACTTTGAAAACTATAATTCAATTCAATTCGTTTATAGACCAATTTAGGGCCCTCATGGGACAAAAAGAAAGTACATTTTTAAAATTTATATAATGATTGTGATCATACACATGAAGTACAATATTCATATACGTACGAGGGAAAAGATTGCTTGATTGATATAGAAAAGACATACAAGAAGGCTAACCCAAAAATATATTATATGAACATAAGGTTGTTTGGGTATATACTTGGAAGTATAATACTTTTACATAATTAATAATAATAATATATATTAAAAACGTCACATTCCTAAAATTAATGGTAATGTTTTTTTTTGTAAAAATCATCCAAAGGAGTTTAGTATATCTAGTTCTTCACATTTTAGAATCCAGAATAATTTTTATTGATCAGGCAATTCTGTAAAATGTTTTACTTTAGATGAGATCAAGTTAAATAGATCTTCTCTTTCCTTTGTAAATTTGCGACAATGAATAAGGAAATGCTCTTCATCTTCAATTTGATTAAGCGTAGAATTTTTACATATCCTTTCTGATCTGAGTGTGTTATTATATCTGCCCAATTCTATGAAAAGTCTGTGTGCTTATAAAGGAGGTTAGGGAAGAAAAGTGTGACAGCCGGACGGACGGACAGCTAGACAGACGGACGGACATGAGTAACAACAAAATACCCGAACTTTCTTTAGAAAGTGCGGGTATAAAAATACTCATTTGATTAGCAGCACTCAAATGAAACGCTAAAAGAGGGCAAACTTGTCACCTATTTATTTCTGGAGAAAAATTTTAGACAGGAAAAATATCTAATTTCATTAAAACCTGAATACTGAAAACCAATTTGCAGATTACGTGTATAAGCACACAGACTTTTCATAGAAGACATACAAGTAGGGGAATACCCAAAATACAGTGAATATTATATGAACATAAGGTTTTTAGGTATATATACAGTACATCATATATATGTATACATTGCTAAATCATATATACTTGGAAGTATCATACTTTTACATAATTAATCAAAGTACTGAAAGTACTGAAAAGCGGTTAGCATGCTTTCATCGAAAATGTACAGTGTACAATAACAAAAAATGCATTGAATGATGATATTAAAGTAAGCATGCATATCTTTTTCCAATGTCATCAGCGAAGAAGCAGACACACTGAATTCTGTAGTACTTAACTAAATGGTAAAACCAATAACATCCAAGACTGATGTCACAAATGTTTGTTTCAAACTTTCAACCTGAGATTTTCAGTTTGAAAGACAGGAAGTTCAATTTCAAAAATTTCTGCTTAATTGTCTCCATTGGTGGCTTCCAAAAGTGCTCAGAACGAAAAAAAATTATGTTGATGTTGCAAATTTAATTGGCTTTCATGCTCTATTGATTCTGAAATTAGGTTACTGTAAAGGCTACTACAGCAAACAACTCAAAAAGAAAATAAAATGATAATTCAAATTCTTCAGATTAATTGGTTTGGAGTACTGTACATAGATCTTTAGCTGGCTAGTCTGAGAAAAATGGATGGACGAGCAGAGAATTAATTTCAGAGGGCTTCAGTTTCGTAGGCTTACTGCGGGTCAGCAGGTGTGACCTGTCATTGGGGATGCTTACTTCTCCTAGGCACCGGAACTTTCAAGGATCCGTTTTTCTTTTGAGACCGATCACTGTTCATTCTGTATTTTGATACAGATACTGAGTACATCTGTTTATTAATATTATGAACTATTTCTCTCACAGGAAGAAAGACAAGTAAACAAGATAATAAAGTTTTAAGTAATGTTCATTATTGACTTTTCATACAATTAAATGTTCGATTAAGTAAATGGTATAAATGACAATTATTTAAAAAAGAGTCTTGCACGATATGTATAAACGAACATATACTGAGTATTTGGCAAATTATTTTTCATGAAAAGGAAAGTTGTTGTTTAATCCATCAATACTAGTATTTTAAAAATGCAAAGGTTCACTAAAAGTCAGTGTTTAACAAACAATTTAATTGTCCATTGCAAGAATTACCTAGGTATCATTGTCACTTTCTTCAATATGTCGCATAAGCAATACATTGTTTTTGTTGTTGTTGTTTTTTTTTTTACTAAAAACAAGTATGCGAATTTCTATCAATATGCCTGTAAGCATCTGTATTTTAATTTTTATTTCTTCTCAAAGGCTCAAAATGATAATAAACAAATTTGACAAATTCAAATTTAAAAAGTATTTTTACAACTTATACCTTGCACAGGAATTTCGCAAACTTTCAAAAATAATCATTCATTAGATATAACTTTCAATTTGTGCTAATTGTCCAGATTTTTCATGCTTCTTTTTTCTGTGCATATTTTATATCGGCTGATTTTTAGAAAAGGATCCAATGCGGATTAATTTTTTTTCCATTTTTTTAAAATTAATTTTAATATTTTCAGGCTCCCATTATTATTTTTTAAAATAAAAATGTGATCGTTTAAAATCGTTTGTAATAATTAGACTGAGTACAGAATTTATCCCTGGAAACAAAGCTTTTATCATCTTTTAAATAATTTCAATTGAGAAAAAAAGGAGAAGAAGACAATATGGAAGTAATCCATAACTGTACAACTTACAGAATGATGTATTCAGTATTTTTATATAAAGGCTTTCTTCTTGTACTAGTATTACTTAAGTTAATTAAAGGGATGCCTTAATATTTTGGAAAATGAAACTCGATCGAGAGATTCTCCGATGTTTTGCAGTCGGTAATAACCTTCAACCCCTTTAGCCAGTAATTAACCCCTCCTCCCTGTGCCCAGTAGCTAGCATAATTCGGTCGAATATTTATTGTTCATGAGGGGTGCCTTATAATTAATCACAGGCACCTGAATTTTTATCAGTAAGTCTCTAAATTAGACAAATATCGAAACATTCTACCCCCTCTATATATAAATACACAACGTGTGCAACGTCATTTTGACCACCTGTTCGACTAGGCTTCAATTTAACACATAAATCGGATATGCCTACAGGTTTTCGTGTAGCATTGGGTTCAAATATGATATTTCTCGCTATACATTTCTTCCTAAAGTTTAAATCTAACGCGTTGATAATGTTATCAGCTAAACTTCATGCTGACTTTAAATTTCGTCACAGGGCCCGATCGCCATCAGCTGATGTCACGGAAATTTAATCTCAACACCAAATGCTCCTATACATAAACTTTTTTTAATACTTTATTTCATTGACAAACAAAATCATAAAAAAATTAAAAACCGAAAGATTATGCTGTTTTGATAGTCTTGATTTTATTTAACATATGTTATATGTGTTAGAAACAAATCATAGGTACTAGGTAGAGGCTTTGTTGAAGTTTCCGTTGTCGATAGGTAGCGCCTTATGGAAGTTTCCGGTGTCGATAAAAACTGGACACATGCCATAAAGCGGTTAGCGAAGCTAACCGCTTAAAAAGGTGCTTTGAGTAGCAAAAAAAAAAAGCTAAACTGGTATAACTAATTCCAACGCAAAGCTTAGTCAATTTTGATATACACTCATCAACTTTTCAACTTTTATAAAATTTATTTTTAAAATATCTATATCATTATTTCTGATTCAAGGGAGAAGTTAAGAGAAATGACCAGAAGTATATTAATCTGTTGAATATAAAACATGTACAAGTATACTGTGTGTTTTTTGTTTTAGTATTTTGTTAGTTTGTTGTGAAAACAACTGTCTATCGGGAATTTTTCACTCATATGGAGACACCACCCCTCAAAAGTAACAAGACAAGATGTGTTTGTGATGCCCCGTATGGCAGCTTTTAGCGAAAGCTGAAGTTTCTCAAATGTAAGTCAAACTCCAAGGTCAAAGGGTCAAAATTGTTGGTATCAAAAGGAAAATATCGTCTCAAGGTATATACGATGGGTGTTAGAAAAGTTTGCGGACAAGTTCTATTGTGAGCGCGCTATTTCCACAAAACCGGTCAAACTTTCCAGATAAAATCTTTACCTTTTTTCAAGTAAATATACAAGAATTTTATGCTCTTGGGTGATTATTGAAAAATATACAGCATTTTTATTTTGATAAAACTTGCTTCATGGAGCATGTTACATTTTGGCACGTTTACATCACAAAGACTCTTTATTAAAATTAAAAATTGCACAAAGATATTTATGATATTTTACCTGCCGCTAAAGAATGCAGGAAACGTCACTGGGAGAAATTTTGAACTTAATTGGATGGTATATGACTGTTTTAAAGCCGTTTATAAATGATCAACGCGTAAATAGACAGCCAAAAATCGGAACGTCATTGAGTGTCATGGAGCACTGCACTACGTAAAAATTATGTGTGCAGACAGGAAAATGTCTAAAAAGAGACTTAAATGTTCAAGATGCTGCCGGGAATTTCCTATACATACAAAGAACAAGTTTTCAAATGGGTTTAACTTCATAAGAATGGAAGGGGGAACATTTTGAATGATTAACTCCATCGATACTTCAATACCCCCTTATCGCATGGACGTTGCATTGCGGCTATATGGTTTTGCATAGTTTCCATACCTGATCGATTAACTGTATAGACTTTTTTTTATTTTTTAATATCTCAATAATATACGAATCAGTACAAAAGACATTATAGTAGAAAAGTAACATGTTTTGATATAGATATTCAATTTTAAAGTAGAAATGAAAGATTTATAAATATAACTGCGATAAAGCTTAAAGGGTTGAAATCTGGTTGTCACGTCGCTTACGTCAAATGATTGCTCCGTGAATCCCATGACCCCATAGCAAAAATAGTTGTAAAATTTCAAGATTTGATTACATGGACCTGATTTTTTACATACCAATAAACAAAATGTAGGAATTCATTCAGACATAGGTCA